TAGCTGAGTTTATGCCTGGATCTTCTTTTCTCTCTGATATATGTCCGTAGAAATGTCCAAAAACTAAGCCTAATTTCAGAATCACCGGTATCTAAGCTATTCACTGAGTGCTAAACCCGCCGTCCACTGACCCTAACCGTGCAAAAATCCGTGCCAAAAGTGAAACGTCATTTTCTTTTGGCTGCCAGAGCGCTTCAAGAAAACCCAGTACAATATTCATGTCATCGTTTTCAGAGCTATCGAATGACTAGTGAAAGTCCTGTGTAAAGGCTGTGTAAAATTGTGTGTTCTACAAAAAAAGAGGAGAGGTGCTACCCAGAGGATTAGTGCTGCGTACTTGTTAGCAGGGAGAAGAAGCCCATCTTTGAGTCCTGTCCGCATCACTGGTTAAGTACATCAGTGATGCTAGCTCTCATTCCTTCTGTTGTCTTCACTATCCATGCTGTCGTTGGCATCATATCCTGGAGGATCCCAAACTCCGCGTTCATCTGTTCGATTCAAGAGTCCCCGTTTTCTGCCATTCTGCAGTGACGGACTGATACCACAGCCATGTAGAGGAATCTGCGCCCTACTCAGGGGGTCTAATGACCGAATTTTTCTGGAATTAAATTGGCACTCACAACGTTATGGTTTGCGCAGCTTACATGTTCGAATAAACTCTCCGGTCTTTGTGATGAAGTAATATGTGCTTCGATAGAGAAACACAGATGATCCAGTCACATAATAAGTAGAGCAAATGACAGATAAACCAAGAGGACGATAAAGTGGACTCCCAGTGAATGCAAGCGCCCTCTTGGTAGGCCACCCCGAACGGTGGACGGACGTGTTTATGGCTAACGCCAAGCACCTGCATCCGCAGAGACAACGAGCTTGGAGTCACGGAATGGGCATTGGGTATGCCACCATGCCCGAAGGGTACCACCATCATGGACGACACTTGCGCGAGAGATAAACGAATGGAAACGATGCCGAGGCTCACATTACCGGTGAAGAAGTGCCGTCCAACTACCTAGGTTAGTACCTTATAGCCAGGTTTTACTACAGCAAAGATCTTACATCGTTTTGTCTGGCGACATTCCTTAGGCAGACTGACTGTGAAAATGGTTGACGATTTTTCTATAGAAAGATAAATTAAGGGCTGTCGACATAGATCAGCCCTCCCCTGAGTGATGCGCCATGCATTCTACTTCATCGGGCATCCTTTGAGGTGGCTTAAGGCATATCTGGTGGCGCACCTATGTAGCAACTCGATGCTGTCATCCTCCTAGACAAGTCTGGTTTCAAGTCGGCACCCCGGGTGAATGGAAGGATTTCTGAGCTTTGAGTGCGAGATCGAACCATAGACCACGTGTGTGTCGCAGAGCACCTCTAAACGTTGCGCCAAACGAGCAAATGCTGTCTAGCTCTTCATGCACTTTTTTGTTCTGCTATCGGTAAAGTGTTACGTACTATCATCACGTCAATGTTTGCGTTCCAGCCTGCTGTGAGTTGCTGAGAAATTTTTCGGGTTTTGTCTTTTTGTTGGTTATTTTTCATGCATCTAAGTCTTTGTTCTGACCATCGTTTAAAGCGGCTTCTTGTTGTTATTTTAATATATAGTCCTTAGGCATTTGTTTTAGGATGGATTGTCCCGAGAGCAAAAACGATTGCTGATGCTACATGGATATCAACTGGGTTGAAGTGCTTCTGAGACCATCGGATTAACGAGGGCTGGAGTGACGTAGCAGTTGGGTGAACAGCAGTTTTTGATCGCTTCAGTGAGTCGAAGGCTGAAAATGGAGATCTGATGCAGAGAGCAAGGAGCCGGCCACACGCGAGAAATTGACCGACAAGCTGTTTTGAATGCAATTGAGATGTCTTCTTAGTTGACGACTCGCATGGTGCCCGGCGATTTTGAGTGTAGCCATACTGTCAGTTGAGAGTATTGGGCTAGCGGGAAGTTCCCTCAACTGTCCCAGCACGCCAGGATTCGCTGATCCGACGGAAAGCCTTAGCGGCACTTGAGCCCAAACGATGCTAGTGTAGCACCAACAACCGTTTCAGCACTCGGGGGAATCCGATTCTAAAACAAATGTACAAATGTTATGTATCAAAATAACTGCAAGAAGATGCTCTGAATGATAGTAACAATAAAAACTTAAGTGCATGAAAAATAATCAACAAAAACGGAATTGGAAAATTTCTTGCCAACCCATCAGAAAGGGTTTGAAATTCTGTGTCCTTGCAGCGGCCACATGTTGAGAAATGCTTTGCAGTTTCTGTGGGTATGTTGACGTCTGCAATTTTTGCAAAAAAAAAAACTTTAATCAGAAAGATGCTAAGCCCAGTCGACTAACATCTGTCTTCATTTCGGCGTCCAAGTATCTGTTTTCGTTTGTTTCCGTGCCACTACAAGGGGAATTAATCCCTCTTCGTTTATGTCTTATGTGGGACTTATCCCTCAAACTCCCACCAATCTGTTACACAAGCTATCTTATCTCAAATATAACTCCTTACTAACCATTTCCTCCTCATCCAGTGATTTCATTGTAGCCTTGTTGCTCATATTGTTTATATGCATCAGCGATCAGTTGTCCAAGTTTGCGGTAAGCGTTGTGAGCCTGACAATCGCAAGAGCTGTTATGGAAGCTCATTGTAGGATACGGTACCATGGAGTTTTATATATTCTCATTTATTTCATGGCAGAATGGATGTGAAATAGAACTACAAGTATGCTGAGATATAAGCAAAACTCGGATACTCACTAAGGTGGCTTGAAACCTGTGATTACTCATACTGGGCTGGCGCCTTACCCACTCTGCTATAGGGGCCCTAAATATGCCTTTCTCCCGACCATGCTCAAACCGTATTGGCTGTTATTAGTAATCATCTGTTAGACTAATCTGCCGAGTGAAATCGGCGTCGAACTGCGCTAAGCTGGTCCTTGATTGAAATCACAAACATAATTCTGATTTGCTGCCTAAGGAACGTGTAGCGCAGAGGGTGGAGGTGTCCTGGTACACACGTGGTCGTTGGTTCTATTCTGCTCCCAAGGCTCACCAATCTTATGATTAAACCGTAGTCTGGAAATCGGTATCAGAGAATGTCCTGGAGGATTAGAGCGCTGATTTGATTCGTTAGTAAGCCAGTGGGAGTCATTCTATTGACTAAACATGCATTTTGTGACCTCAGACGATCTTGATGAGTTTAAATGCACACCACATAGCTCAGGGGTTGATCAGTGCCAAGAGCCTTTTCTTTCTTTGCTATGCTCTGAAAGAAAAGAATAGATAGTAGATGGAAATCAAGAAAGTATTTCCAAGCAATCATTTTTGAGCCACGCGTGTCAGTGGTCTGTTAAAGGAGGGCTGACTTATAGAGCCCGATACACGTGTTTCGATCTTGCGAACTTGTCAGTCGGGCAGTTACCCTTTCTCGTCTTTTGCCAATCCTGTGTGGGTGCTCCAGTCCCCACACTAAGAGTTAGCAACGACGAACGTTTTACACTCTATGTCCAGTGAACTTCTCACCGAACACAGAGTGTTGTACACTCGATTGCTCTTGGCTAGTATATTTAATATATCATATTCTTCGTTTCGAGTGTTTTCTTGAGACCACTGCTCAAATTTCAATAGGCCTGATAATCATTATTAAAGCCACGCATGTCAGTGGTCTATCAAAGAGGGCTGATTTGTGAAGCTCGATACACGTGTCACGATCATGCGATATTGAATATACTAGCCACGAGAAATCGAGTGTACAACACTCTGTGTTTGGTGAGTTCTTCACTGGACATAGAGTGTAAATCGTACGTCGTCGCTAACTCTTATTGTGGGGACTGGAGCACCCACAGGGATTAGCAAAAGACGAGAAAGGGTAACTGCTCGACTGACGTAATCGTAAGATGGAAACACGTGTATCGGGCTCTATAAGTCAGCCCTCCTTTAACAGACCACTGACAAGCGTGGCTCAAAAATGATTGCAAGGCATATTGAATTTTGAGCTGTGGTTATAAGAAAACATTCGAAATGATAGTTATGATATATTTCCAAGCAGTCTAGTTCCAGCTTTCTGTCCACGGAAGGACTGGACTCATGGGATGATACCCAACCACCATACTATTGGTGAGGAACAGCATTACTTTCCACTATGCTAGCCCCCCGATAGCCGCTATTACGGTTAGACCAGCACGACTCATCCGATAGTCGAATCTGTCGTCCCACAAGATTTTGATCAATCCCTGAGTGATGCGCCGCTATGCATTCGCTTTTAATTATTAACTTCGTATGAAGTGACTGAATGCATAACTCTATCTCAGTGGCCTACCGCTGTGTCGAATCATTGCCGGTTATCCTTATAGAGAAATCTGGGACCTGTCTCCTACCAATTTATCGATCACTGTGGGATGGATGGCTTGGTGAGCCATGAGCGCGAGATCGAACCGTCGACCTTGGGTCCTACAGGGTACAACAGAAAATTGATTGGATTCGCTACCACTCAGTCTTCGATGTCTCTATCAAAGCTAACAGCTATCGCTTCATAAACCCAGTCAAGCTGACAGCCATCATGATAATAATACACAAAATTTCTTATTTTAACTGCTTTTCGCAGTGTTATGTTTCAAATATATCATTTAAATATGGAAACTTAGCTCTTTAGCTGGCCTGAGGTTGGTTGGAAACGTCAGCTAGCAATCCATACAGCGATCTACTAACAGCAATCAACAGCGACAACAACGTCGTCCACTAACCTCGTGCCAGAGCTAAGTTTCCATATTTACATCTTTCGATTCGAGTGTTTTCTTAAGACCACAGCTCAAAGATTCAATATGCCTGATAATCATTTCTTGAGCCACGCATGTCAGTGGTCTGTCAAGGAGGGCTGACTTATAGAGCCCGATACACGTGTTTCGATCTTTCCATATTTAACTGATAATTAACTTTGATGCTGAGCTTCATAGAAAGTCGATCTCTCGAGCGTTTCAAGTGTACCTAAGAGAATTTAGTTATGAGCAAAAATTCGACCTCAAACGAGAGTTGAACCCGCGTCTCACCCGTACCGGAGGCGTCTGCTACCACTACACCAGCGAGGCACCGTTTCGCTACCACTCGTTCTTCAATGTTTCGTGGTTGTCCAGTATAAGTGAAACGCAGATTCAACTCCCGTCTGAGGTCGAATTCCGGCTAACCAGTCAATTTTTTAGGTACGTTTGAAACATCATAACATTGCGAAAATGCAGTTAAACAAGAAATCTTGAGAAAAGTGATTGTTTCTATCTTAGAAAGTTCAATTTATAAGCATTTAGACATTGAATATTTTATAACAATTACAAATATCATTGACCACGAAGGAGCAAAAAGAAACCATTTTGTTGGTGGTTCTTATTGCTGTCAAAGAGGAAGGTATCGAATGACCAGCTCGATCGCAATTGGTTATTAGGTTCAGTACAATTCTCTCCGATTTCTTCATGTTATCCAATCAAGTGTATTCTTAGAAATCACTCTAGAACCGCTAAGGTTTAGTGAACTTTGACCTCTAAAGACCACAAAAATTCAGTAGAAAAGCTTTAAATCTTACTACCAAAGTTCGAATAATTGTATACTTCGGAAAAATTCTGTATAGTTGGAAACTTTAAGCTCAAAACTCCAAACTTTACCACAAAACTATCAAACTGTAAAGTCCTTATTACGTCAAAACTTAATGGGACCTTGAGACTTCTAAAACTTGAAGTTTTCTAACTACTGAAAATTAAATAACTTTGAAAACTCTGAAAATTTCAAACTCTAGAACTTCGAAAGCTTCAAACTTAACTATTAGACTTCGAAAACGAAGAAAAAAAGGCCCAAAATCTCTTTGAAAACGTTTACAACTCTGAATTTTGAAGCTTTCATCCTTACTAATAAACTAACGAACCTTGAAGCCTTTGAAACTTGAAAGAATTAAGCCTATATACTTTGGAAACCTTGAATTTTACTCCTTACTAATCTTCAAAATTCTTTAAGCTTTACAAAACTTTGGAAATTTGAGAAGTTTGAATTTTAGAACTTTACAACTTCAAACTTTAAAAATATCTAGAAAACCTTGAGAAATTTTTCCAATATTTAAAATACTCCAAACTTCGCTGCTGAATTGCCAGACTTTGAACGTCCTAGGAAGTCTCACAACTTGAAGGAAAAAACTTTGAATCTTAACACTATGCATAAAAACTTGAAGTTCAAAAAACAGCACTGGTAACTTGGAAAACCTTCTTAGTTTGGAACCTTGAAACTCTAATCTTAACTTCTAAACTCCAAACAAACTTCTAAGCTTCTAAGAAACCTTGAAATTGTTTAAAACTCTCAAAATACTAAACTTCAAAACATTTAACTTTCCTTCGGAATTACTGAATTTTGAGGAATTTAAAGGCCTTAGAACTTTGGATAAAAATTCCTTAGAAATGTCAAGGTTCACTACTAGATTGCTAATCTTCTCGTCACTAAAATTCAAAAAACTTCAAACTTGAGAAAAAAATCTTTAGAAACTCTGGAAATTTCGAAGTTAAGTTTTTCAAAACAACCTTGATTATCAGATTTAAAAAGCAAAAAGAAATCTTGAAATCTCTTCAAAAAACGTTTAATATTTTGAACTTTGAAGCTTTAATCCTTGCTAGTAAACTATTAAACTCTAAAAACCTGCAAAAATGTTGAAAACTTCCAAAAAAAAAAAACTTTGACCTTGAGCATTAAATTTGGAAATATTTTGAACATCAAGAAACAGCCTAAATGCTTCAAAACCTCCGGAGTTAAAAAATTTGAATCTCCAAATTTTGTAACTGAACTTTAGAATGAAATTCTTTTTTTTAACCGCTCAGCGATGGTATTATGTTACAAATGTATACCTATTGATGTATAGTTATGTGCAGAACTTTCGCGTCAGCCGGGACTAGAACCCGCAACTCATTCTTTCCTGGAATTCTGGCGTGAACTTCAAAATATTTCGCGAAGCCCTAAAAATATTCTGAAAAGCTTTGAAAACGTCAAACTTTGTTACTAAATTACTGAATTTTGAAAAACTTAAAAGCTCTAGAACTTGGGAAAAATTTGAAAAAGAATTTCCCACTAAGTCATTATTTTTTAAACTATTTTATCTGTCAATCAATAAAGAGTATAATAAATATGAGTTGTTTGGGATCTACTGATTTTATTTTATTCTTATTTTTTGAATCGATGGAAGGAGTACTGTGAATTGATTTCCAAGTGACCACAGACAGCAAAATTACGGACTTGACATCGTCAGAGTTTTGTTTACGGTTCATACTGTTGTTTACCTATCGTTCTCCTCGTGAACAGTGTATAGCGTACAGTTGTTTATTTACCGTAAGCTGTTTAGTGTTTGTTTATTTGTTTGTTTGTTTGTTACCGTCGACTACCGCTTATTTACCATTAATGAAGGAATTTAACGCGTGTGATGTTCATAGGTATCGATCCGATCATTCATTGTTGAGAGACACGAATACGAAGTAGTGCACGTACGGTGGTGGTGGTGGTGGCCAGAGGACCAGCCAATGTCAATGGACGGTCGGTGGCTTCATATTGATTCTCTCTGTATTTTTCAGCTGATCTTTCTCTTTCTTTTTTATCGAACCGCTCCTGGTAGCTATATGATGTTACAAGTTGGTGTCCAATAATGTTGAATATGAACGAACGTGGCGCAGAGGTGAGAGGTGCACTGCATCGTTCAGAAGGTCAATGGTTCGATCTCGATCGCATGGCTCACCAAGCCGTCCATCTTTTCGAGGTCGGTAAATTGGTACTACCGGACTGGTCGCCTGGCGGATAAGCAGCACTGACTTGATACAGCGGGAGGCCACTGCGAGTCATTGTGAAGGCCAAATATGAAGGATTCAATCACCTTAAATGACCTTGAAAATTGAAGTCGAATGCGTGGTGCATCCCTCAGGGATGGATCGACTCCGAGGGCTTCGTCCTCTATCCTTTTGAAGTTGAGTGATATGCAAAACTTCAGACGTCAGTCAGGCGGAATTCGAACTCGCCATTCCCCCTTTCCGGAGGAGCGCGTACTTAACCAGTTACACTACCGGGGTCCCCGGGATTCCCGTGGTCCCGTTATGATATCACTCTTAAATTTGTTGATTAGATATATACGATATCTGTTAGCGTAACTGGATTCAATGCCGATCGCTTGCCAGATCAAATCGCTGGCGATTGGTTGCTGTCAGATCCGCTACGTTGTGTAACTAAAAGAGTGATATTGGAACTGGAGCCTCATTGGTGCAATTGGATAACGCGCTCCCCTGAAAAGGGTGAAATGCGGGTTCGAATCCCGTCTGACTGACGTTTAAAGTTATGCATATCACTCAACATACAAGAGATCTGTCGTTCGAATTTGAAGAGCTCAATAAGGAAATTCGAGCAGCTGTTTATGATTCCTTTGCGAAAGAATAGTGGTTTTGTTTCTTCTCTTTCGTCTTAGATTCCTTCAGACGTTATAGGTTCCTCACCGGCTATGTCGCAGTTAAAGCAATTGGTCTTAGGCGAAGATTCACCGATGTCTTCCCCTTCAGATATGATAAAACGTATGTCTCTTTTTTACATCGTGGCCTCGAAGCATGAATTTTTGCAATTTTTTCAGCTGTCACAAAAGAGGAACCGGCAAGTATAATTTTTGATGATAGGCCAATCGAGAAGACACCTCTCGGTGATGCCATAGACTCTTTGATGGTTCGTTGGGCTCAGCTCTTATCGAATGTATCGTCTCGACCGCCTGTTCCAGCTCCATCCACTATTGACCATGTCAAAGAAGTAGTTGAGATATCCATGTATCATGTGAGTTGTTTTAGCATAATCAATAGAGTCGAGGCGGTTTTGTAAGGATATAAAGTATGTCATGAATCGGCCAAGAGACATCAAAAGATCTGAAGATCTATCTGTCTGGTGGAGGCTATAAATGGGCCTCTCCCGGACCATGTTCTGGTAGAATTTCTGTATCATTCCCCTATACGTTTTGTTCAAACTGTCACCAAACGTTTACAAAAATGTGCTTGACAGAGACTTGCGTCCGGGTTATCAAGAAGTTTTTTGGTCAGTTTTCTCAGCTCTAGGTTGTTCTCAGGGAAAACTTATAGTACGTTAGCATATTGGCATCGATGCGCCATTGCTTCAGTGCTTTCGTGTCCCCAAATATGTTTACTTTTCCCACCTTCAAACCGCATAAAGTTTAAAAAGGTAGAACTCTCGGCATTGATCAATCCTTGAGGAATGCGCCATGCATTCGACCTCATCAAGCATCGCTTGAGGTGATTGAATGCGTATCCGGCTTTGCACATGAACCTGTGAAGAAAATCTTACAGTATCAGAGTTAGATGTTCAATCTAGAGTTTCTTTCTAGGTAGAGAAACAGTTTCCAATCAAATAACAAGAATCTCACTTCATATAGTCGCCATCGTTTGGTGATCACGCCAGCTCTCCGTGCCCTGTAGAGTTATAATGAAGACTTTTCCAAAAGTCGGCCACGTAGAACGCTAGCCAGAGATTTGAGTCTTCGAATGAACATACCATTCTTGTCCAGCGTAAGAGGCTTCGAAATCTGTATACTAAATGGAAGGACCGAAAATCAAAATCCATACTTGCAGGCCTTGTATGCGCTTGAGGCGATTGAAAGTGATTTTATGAGTTTGTAGAGATGAAAAATGCTTACGAAAGTGTTTTCAGTTCCGTGATTCCTGCTTGGATGTCTGTTCAGAATTCGCAAAAATTGATTTACAATGGCAAATTGACCATCCCGAGGAAGTTTATGAAGATGTACGTGTGTTATCCAAAGAACTAACCCTCTTCTTTGATGAGATAGTTTATTTTGATATCTGTTTCCAGGAAATGAAAGGCTTAGATGATGCTCTGATTCGTCAGGAAACACTACTCGCAAGAGCACATGGCATTCTTGATAAGCGTTGCAAAGAATTTTTTGGTTGATCGTTCTCTATTGTGACCGTCACTTTACTTTTGCATTGGTGATCTCGTCTTACTGTAATCGAGTTCTGGTTATATGTACTAGAGTCAAATGAACTGTTAGATCTACGGCTTGTAATTGATAAAA